TAAAGATAAATCGTCCAGCTCAAACCTTTGTAGGGGTAAGAGGTGGGACCATCATCATCATCATCATCATCATCAGTAATTCTGATGATTCTATGCGATGTAAAATAATGTCATTGTTGAAGAAAAGCATTGCAAATTCGCGGCGTTCTTTGAGTGTATGTAAGTTGATGAACATGCAGTGTGTTTCAGATGATGGAATAGGAAATGTGGTCGAATTCAATTTGCGAAGAGCATATAAACGGAATTGTTTTTGGACGGATTCTTCCCATTCCACGTGTATGGGAATGTACGGATACCATACTAGGTAACACAGTATTCCAGAATAGGCCTTACGTAAGGTAAATGACGGCTTCGGCAATACCTTATTTTATTACCATCAGGAGGGTAAACAACGTCCTTGAGAGCTCAATTTTGATAGGTGGATACATTGTGCTTCAGAGCATCTATGGGCCAAATTTGAGTGCTCTAGGACTTTGTGTACCCCCCGACGATAATAGGTTGAGGTATTTCCGAAGCCGACATTTCTCCTATGTAATGTATAATAGTGCATGGGTCTTGACCATTATAGCTGATCCTTTTAATGAAGCCCAACATACTATTTGATTCCGTTATGATGGTATTATAATGTTCTACAAAAGTGAGTTTGGAGTCTAGGATTACGCCTAAGTCCCTTGCAATTTTACATTTTTCTACTTTTTGGTTGCCTAAAAATATTTAAAAATGAGGTAGGGGAAATGGCTCTAATGTTGGCCTTTGGATCTAGGATTGGGCCCATCGCTAAAAATCTTCTATTTATCAATTTTACCTAGATGAATACCTCATTAGGATGGTACTAAGGGATATTTTTGGTCGCTATTGAAAATTTAATTGATTGCTGATTTATGTATGGCCCACATTAACTAGTCGTAAAACAAAAAACTAAACTAACTCAGAAAGTGATTCTCAAGTAACCAACAGGCGATTATCGGGTAGTTAGCGGGCTTGGTGATTACTTGGGTTAACTTTTGCTCTTTCGTAAGGATACATTTCTAAAAGCGTTGGTCACTCAGCGCATGAGTAACCTACGTAAAAGTTACTCACTCTCTGAATAAGATTCGTTTTTAGTGAATGTAGACTGCTTAAGCAAGCCTTTTGAATCAAATGTTACTAGCGCTGCATGGTGAGTGAATTTTGAACTAAGAGGCTAAACATGCGATAGGTATTTTCCATCTGTATAACTTCACTGAACACATAAACCTGCTTTCTGGCCGTGGAATTTGATGCACAATGCACACTAAGCTTTCCAATATCCAATTTCTAGTCTAGATGGCAAGCTAAATGCATTGAAAACGAATATTACTCAGAGAATGAGTCTCTTTTACTGATTCGTACTCATGCGCTGAATGACCTACGCTTAAAGAAAAAATTTCATACGTATGAGTAAAAGTGACACACAACTGAGGAAAAGTCTCTAAGTAAGATTCGTTTTTAGTGTGCAACGCAACGAACACCCCTGTTTATCACTCGGCAGCTAAACAATGTCTGCAGTCAAACTTTCTACGTTTCGCTTACTCAAGCATTTGGATTATCATTCTATGTCCCTCCTTTTTTTTCTGTATTTAGCTGAAGTAGGTGAATGAATAGAAAAAAGGCTACAATGTCCACGCTGCAGCGAACAAGTTCCAGGTCAACCCGTCCAAAGGGCAACACTGAATGATTATGTGGCTTCGGCTTGTGTTGTTAGTGACCAACTTTCTGATGGCTGTGTTAGGGGTGAGCACCTAGCGGTCGAAAAATATCTTTGAGAATTTTGAATGTTTCCATATTTCTTAATTTTTAGCTATTTAAATATCTTACATTTATAATTTGTGACCTTCTCAACAAATTTTCGTTGCATTTCCCTGGCTTGGAACCCTTCCCGAAATACGTAATCCTGCGTAAAAACAAAGTAGCAGCTTGTGCCCTTCTGACGAAACGATGAACGTTATGATCCTCATACAATGTAAATCATGAACTAGCTGAGTTTCCTTCGAAACGATTCACCATGTCAAGGACATCGTCAAATTGGCTTCATGTTTTCGCACATATATTTTTAAAGGAAATGGTTCGTTTGACAGACATTAAACGACAATGAAACGATCATAACAAACTTGGAATTTAATTGATTGTCTCGTTTGTGCGCCAGCACAAAGGGAAGGGTACATGAACAAATCAACAGACCATCAATCATTAGGGCTTTGCAATTGTTCTGATCCCTACCACCAATAGCACACAAAATTATAACCTGAAATTTAATCAAAAAATAAATGGTCAATTTTCCTCCGCATCCGCCCTGGCAAAATCATTCTTCAAATCTGCTAAGCGACATTTGACTGTCGCATGAAATTTTATTACGTTTCGTAATAAACAAGCGAAACGCAAGGAGCAAAGCTTTGCAAGCGAAGAATTGCTATACCTCCGTTCGCAATTTGACGAGAAACTTTACCATTTAATCGGCGTGGGTAAAAATAAGCCATGAAATGGACATAAAATATGTTTACGGCTGCTGATGGCCCATCAAGGTGGTTCGCGGAAATGGAAAACAGATAGACCGTACGATAAGTAAAATGGTCAGCTTTTAACTTGACTGATGATCTGCTAAATTATGATTTAATTCCAAGAAGTTTGGATTTGCTTCTGCAGTTTTCGAAGAATCCATATAAATTGCTGTAGAATTTGTTGGTTGGATAGTAGATCTTTAGATCTCCAGGCAGATGCGTAGTTATTGGAACATTGTTTCAAATTCACAGCTAACCATTATCTGTAATGGCTACCTGGAATTTATGTTCAGTTGAGCTTTAACTGAAGCTTAACTCAGGTATAGGAATCTCTCAAAGAGCACAGTGGGTGGTTCAATCCACCCACTACTTGTTGCATATCCAACAAATATGCATTCAAGATTTGAGAGTTGTTATTATCTTTAGTGTATGCAAAGTAGACAGATTAGAAATGCTTTGCACTAGCGTAAACGGTAGACTGATGCAAAATTTGAAATTTTTGCTCCACATTGTTCAAACGGTTTCAAATCGTGTCCTGATAAGCCTCCGAAAGTTTAAACTCATTTGATAAGAAACTGACTTGGCACAAACCATTTGAAGTTTATATGGAAATTACTATGAGGAAACAAAACTTTTATTCATTGTCTTCATATTGTACTGTTAACAAATTCTCTTGCTATTGATATGAGAATTTTAATCAGCTAAAACTTTGCAGAACATCGTTTTTCAGCAAAACGTAAAATTAAATAGTTATTAATTGTCTAAGAGATTGATAATCTAATGGCATAATTAAGCAACTGTGTGGTGGGCAACACTGTATTCTGCAGTGTAACATAGTAGCCATGATTTTTGTCTTCTATTCTACGCGCTATAAACACCAATGTTGCCTGCAGTTGATTGAGCATAATCATAAGACGTCAGTGACTTGAATCATTAATAATTTTTGTTCCTTACATTTGATCGAAAAGTAGTCTTGAACAAAGTTGTAGCTCGAAAAATATTTAACAAGTTCAGCTATCATTTTCTAAAGTAGAGTGAACTGGTGAATTTTGAGATAGATATGAACCGAAATTATGGTTTCTTCATAGTAATTCCCATATAAACTTCAAATGGTTTGTGCCAAGTCAGTTTCTCACTAAATGAGTTCAAATTTTGAGAGACTAATCAGGGCCCAATTTGGAACCGTTTGAGCACTGTGGAGCGGAAATTTCAGATTTTGCATCAGTCTAGTAAACAGCTTCCTCACTGGAAAAGTTAGACAAGCGCTTAGTGAAGCATACTCACCACATCAGCTCCTAATGATGGCATCAATTATCATTGAAGAGCTCTACTGAAGAGAAGTGTGTTTTTTTTTTCACTTCATTTAGGCGTTTTGAGGCTCAAATTTCATAAGCAACTTAACGGAGCCGAATAATAAATATGTATCATAAATTTGAAAATCAGAAAAAAAAAACTTCTTATTAGTTTTTTTTTCTGTCTGTGAGGCGACTTGATTACGGCTTTCTCCAGTGCTCGCAACTCATTTCTTTTCTGAATCAGCCTCTGTTTCTACTCCTGAGCAGTTCCAGTCCAAATAGCAAAAAAAAAACAAATTATAGATTTTCCCACAGAATCCCATGAAACCCATGAAAAATCCCACAGAATCCCATGCGTAATTGGTCGCTAGTGGCAGTGGAACAATTTTGAAACGTACTTTGGCCATTTTGACTTATAAATCTTAGCCCAAAAGTGGCTCATCTAATCGAAATGACGTCTGAGACATTGTCACATAAGATTTTCTTCTTAGAAAATCTACGCTATATTTATGTGTGTTTTTTTTTTTACTAAAAATATGTTTTCTGCATAAAAATCAATAATCAATTCTTTGCGGAAAAAATTAATAATGTGTACTAATAGTTGATGTTCTACGATTTTGGTTCGTTCAATTTTGGCACCATTTTTGGAGACCTCTATACATATCGAAAGAGAAATGGGGAGCAAAAAATTGTAAAGTTGACCCACCCTAGTTTCTAAGATCTCTTCAATGATAATCGCTGCAGTGAAAATGAATCGCTCCCCAGAGTGCTGTAGTTCAGAGTATTTAGCATCCCAGATTGGACCCATGTAATATGGAACTGGTGCTGCATTTCTTATTTAATTAATTAATTTGATTGAAATGTTACTTCAAAAGCTTTATTCCACATCAATTAATTAAAACGGAAAACATATTTCTTCTAGATAAAACATATTTTTTTGTCTCTGGATCCTATATTTAAATATAATTTCAGTATCAAAGCTCAAAGCTCTTCTACACCATGGCAGCAAAATCGTGAACATACCTACACATATAACCACACATCTTTATGGTCCATCCCCCGGTGATTAAGTTATTGTAGGCATCAATCTCGATAACGAGAAAACCCCAGCAATTAATTGTGATTTCCGTTCTACCTCCCACTAAAATGTACCATTTTGTTTCCATTCCGCATGTCGTCCTACATTCAGCTATTCATCAACAACCCACACCGGCCAACAGCAGCAGCTACAGCAACAGTCCCAGCAACAACAATCTAACGGAACCGAAAGGGTATGACATGGCTACCGAGGTGAACGAGATTGCCCAGCTGCACCCGTCGTCGTCATAATCACAACCCCACCCAGCACCATCCCCCGCAAAGAACCACCGGCCAACGGTGGTTCCCCCTCCTGCCCGTCGTCATCTTCCCAAACGTACACAGCGACTGACAGCACCAACCATAACGATAGCGTCAACATGAATTACAACCTTCGTCGGCGCAGCAGCGGAAATGCCCCCCTTGGCACCGACATCCAGAGCAGCAGTAGCAGTAGCAGTAACAATAACCAATCCGAACAGGAATATTCAGCATCCTCACGTACAGCCGACCCACAGGAGCAGCATTATAACCGGATCAACAACAACCATGTAATTGATGAAGCCACCGGGTTAGACGAATACGAACCAAGTACTTCGACGGCAACGGTGGCAGGTGATGGTTCAGAACCTAATTCCATCCCGAATCCGACCGACACCCCAACGGCCGACAGTAGCAATGAATCACCCAGCAAAACCGTCGACACCAGAATCCCGGTTTATGTATGATAGCAAGATTTCGCAGTGGATGGTTCAGCCCTCTTCCCGATCGAGCTCGAGGCTGACCCCCGTTAAGAGCACAATTCTTTGACCTGACTCTCATCACTACCCATCATCGGCAGTGTGCTTTCATGAGCCATAAAAACCGGCAGCGGGAGATCACTAACCAATGATAGCGATGTGCGTTTTTTTATGGCTCGTGAGCCATCTGATTTTTGTTATCGCAGCTTGATTGAGGTGGAGAATTTTGGTTGCGATTATTAAGATAACTTCAATCACTTCAGATCCTCTTTCACTGCAAGTTAAATCATTCAAATGATGCACCATGAAGAAAAATAGGTGAGTTTTTTTTTTCAATTTCCCTTTTTGTTTAACATTATGGCGAGCATGCTTGCTGCCACTCACTTGCTATAAAAAAATGTTTTTCAGAATGATGAAATCATTGCATGTTATAATGATATGTATTTTGTAAAGCATGTGAGTGGAAGAAACCCCGATGGCGAGATCCTGAAACATGCTAAAAAACGAAAGAGACAAATTTCTAAAAATTTCTTATCTTAAAGGACAAAGGTAAAAGCTTTCCATTCTGACATACGGTTGGACATTTTAATTTTAAAACTTTGACAATACTATTGATTCAAATGCATTGCTGATGTAAGCTTCGTCTAATCCTAATCTTGGATTTTATAAAGCAGCTGGAACTTTAAGTTCATCATCATACAAGAGTTATTCGACCACTTGCACAGTTGTTAATTACGCGTTTTTCTAGGTTGTACCATTACCCCTTTTGTCAAGAGAAGTCGAGAAAATAGTCTGAGTTAAACAGTGATGCTAACGCGCTAACTTCAATCAATCATAAATTAATCTCAGTGACCGAACACATTTGTTAACGCACTTACTTGAAAACTCAGCAAGTAATGTAACGCATAAAAAATCATTCCTTTCCTTTCCACGGTCGGACGACCTTCCAGTTGTGTACCGTTCTAGTGGTGGGTGGCAACCATTTTGCGTGATAATGAAAAAATATATACACAAAATGTATCGTGCACATCGATTGACGACGGTAGCAGAGGGGAATTACTTTATCAACACGCTCGTTCTGCCGGGACCGCTCGACTCAACAATAGCATCAGCGTTACATATCCTTACCGCTCCCCTTCATAGTCGGTGGTCACCCTTAAACATGTGTAGCAGCTAGATACTTGTCTTCGACGTTACACGGAGCCTTGTAATAAGGTTGGTTCTACTGCAGGGATGGTGACAGTGCTGATGATGATGATGATGATGATGGTTATTATTATTATCATCATTATAGCTCACCCAGTTGCGGTTGATGAAGCGTATAGGAGACAGCTCTCTGAAGAAGCGGTCTTTCAGCCCTGGAAAGCTGTCAATTTTAATAAAATGGGTTTCACCCTCATCTGTCCCTTTCATTGGGACAAACTGCTGCGTGGTCATCAATTAACCTTCCAACCGTTAGTGTTTTTCGTGCACCCAGAGATGAACGGTTCATGATTGATTGAATTATTTGTTAATTAAAATGATACATGTATATTAGAGTGGTCCAAAATATCGTGGTGCAACCAAGCTCCATCGATTCTTAATCAGGTTCGGATCAATCTTTTAAATTTGTCGAACCTCTTAACGGAATCCCTTTATGAAGAGCTTTGAGTGGGTTGGTTTATTTCCTTTAAATTCCGTTATAATTGCTTATCTTTTGACAGATACGCGTATTTCGTCTACTACTTGCAGACTTCATCAGTGCCAAGTACTCAGTTGTGTTGAGTACTTGGCACTGATGAAGTCTGCAAGTAGTAGACGAAATACGCGTATCTGTCAAAAGATAAGCAATTAAAACGGAATTTAAAGGAAATAAACCAACCCACTCAAAGCAGATTCTGATAATTTTCCCAACATTTTAATTTATTTGGATATGAACTTATACTGCACTGGTCTTTTGAAGTTTATATGCGAAAGTGAACTTTTTGTTCTCAACGTCCTAGACCTAGGCGGGTAATATCACAGGTGGGCAAGAGCTTACGGTCTCCCAGTGTTGGTGAGTTCTTTGCCGTTAACGTTCCCGAAAAGTTCACTATTTTGCCATATGTATGTACAGAAATTCAAATAAAAAATTATCGGCTGATTTGGACAGTTTTAGACCTTCTTCATACGACCGGAAGGTGTATGCTGGTCACAATTGCCGTGCCAAACTGATTTCCCACGCAATTCATCAACCTTTGATGTGAATTTCGCTAATAAACACGAGGAGCATTTCTTATAGCAAAACTTGCCATAACAAAATGGGCACAGTTCATTTTAATAAAAAAAAAAAATAACACTTCTTCCTACTTTGTCACCTTTGTATTACCCGCCTAGGTCCAAGCCCTTCTATCTTTTATCTATCTACCTTACTATCTGCTCTTTTGTAAAAGTTTATCAGCTACAATTTTTTATTTGACTTCACGGTAGTTAGTTATTAATTGATTTCGAAGCCGATAAATTTCTGATATGATTAATCAAACGCTGTCAGGGCAACATTGCATCTTGCAGCCATAGTAGCCTGGATTTTTGCCCTATTAATTGCGCCAAGCACACCAATGTTGCCTGCTGAGCAGTTGACGGAGCATGTCAGAAGAACATCATCTTCGTAATAAATTAATCACTAACTGACTGCGGTCAAATTGTAGCTGGGAAAATTTCTCATTAGTACAGTTAGCAAATTTTTTCGTAGATCATTACAGTGACGGGCTAGAACGATGAGAACATAAAGTTCAATTTTTCCATAGTAATTCCCATATAAACTTCAAAAGGCCAGTGCGTCATGGTTCAATATTAAAATTTGCTCAAATTTTGAGAGAATTATCAGGATCTGATTTGATATCGATTTCTAGTTTGTAATTTATTGTTACTATAACGAAAACCTTTCTGTTACAGGACCATACATCAGACCAAGGAAACAATAATCAGTTTAACTTTAACTACTTTAACTTTAACTATTTGTTTTATATTACTTCTGCGTGAAGTTAACGATTTACATAGTTGAACAGGCTTATTTCAAAGAACAGACTAGAGTGGTAATTTGTATACAATAGATGAGGAGATGAAAGTATAGAGTTGATAGTTCCGTTAGAGTACGGCAGTGTGAAATAGTATAAATATATAGAGAGTAGAAAGCGAGCAAGGACAACTTTTAAGGAAGGTACAAATCGGTTTTTTCATCTCTCATTACCAAACATCCCTCTCCAATGGGGGATTTTGGTAAAGAGAGATGATTAAATTGATTTGTACCTTCATAAAAGTTGTCCTTGCTCGCTTTCTACTCTGGGGATTACTAAGCTACCCCTCTCCGATGAACCACTGCATGAGAGAACCAAAGATCTAGTCCAGCAGTGATAGTATCACACTTGTTACTCCTTTGTTTGAGAGCCGTGTCGTAGTACGCTTACGTATAGGCACTGATGTTGGGTGGCGATACTACCGCAAATCACTCGTATTTTATTTATTTTTACACAGATAGATTTATTTGGGTTTGCAAGCGAATTATACTATTGAAATATTTCAGAAAGTGCCCAACAGTACTCTTTCTATTTGCTTGACAAGCTTTCATTGTAGTTTTCATTGAATCATTGCTCAGCGAACAATGTTAAACACCATTTTTGTACATGGTATTGTAACTAATATTATGTGTGCTTCATTTTGATTTGGGATAAGTGTTTGAACTATAGCGGCGCCGGTGGTGTAGTTGTAAGCGTGATTACCTCTCACCCCAGCAGGCCTGGGTTCAATCCCAGTCGGCGCTGCCGGGATGTTCTGAGGCATAACATCTCTGATCACGCCTTACTTCGGAAGGTAAGTAAAACCGTTGATCCCCGGTTCATGAGTTGATGGGTCGATAGGATAGGGTCCAGGTGTGGGAGCTGCCTCCCTGGCGTCAGTAGCATTGGTGCTCAGCACGAAAAACAAGATCGATGGAAAACAAATCAAGGAAAAAAAAGTGTTTGAAGTATGGCTCGGGATTTTCACTGTGGCGTGCTTCTATTGTGATATACCCATACATATTTTTGTGGTGCAACATAGTCTAAGGTTGTGAGCATAGCTGGTGCATAAACCCTATAAAATTTAAAAATCAGCAAGGAAACTAAGTTCAAAGTGAAGCATTTTAGTCACTTGAAGGTGTCACCTGGGTCGAACTAAGATATAATAAATATAGTTCAAAGTCATAAGTAATTGAAACACGTTTAATTTGAGATTACAAGCACAAGTGCAGGTACTTTATAAAGCATGGGTTATGATTGATTAGGTGAATTAGAGATTTCAATGATTTATTAAATTAGACTAATGACTAATCATAATCATCAAATGAACTTATACAAGAAAATTCAGAAAGTCTAATAACATTAAGTAGATTAACAACTAACCTTTAAATTTGCTGAAAAAATCTTCTTATTTAGTTTTGAACTTCAATAAGAAAACGCAAGCAGATTAATAGCATTAAGCAGATTAACAAAGAGAGGAAAAGTTTAGAAAATATGTAAAATTAGAGGTATGTGACAATTAATAACTTTTAATCTTTTGAAGGTATTGTTTTCCCCTGAGTTTATTGATCTCGATTATTATATTATTCTCTCAATACGCGAAAGCTCTGATATATGGGGTTAAAACATTTGAGTTAACTTATTTCTTAGTGTTCAAGTACTTACATTTGTAAACAGCAGTCAATGTTAATCTATGAACTAAACCCTACGTAAAATTGATCTTTCCTTATGACGGATTTCACGCCAACTCGTCTTCGGAGTTGGCAGCACCCTCTCAGAACCTTATGAAACTTTGTGGGTGTGGAGACTTAGCAATTTTAAGCAACTTTGAGTACTTATTTTTTTCAAAATTTATCTCGCCTAACATTTGATAAGGGTCAAAGTTTTTTGTCGATTTTTTTTTTTTCAAATCGATATAGCTTAAAAATGACAAGCCCTACAAAATAGTGATGTATGGCGAACTTTTAGCAAATAATCTGAAATTTTATAAAAAAATTTAAATAAATTAAAAAATTGGTTTCTACACTCTAAAAAAATATATTTAAAAATTAAAAGTCATTTTCCCAAAAATGGTACCCCTCAGATTTGCTTGATATTTTTCTCATGAAAGGCAATATAATTACCTAACTTTTCTTCATACATCGCAAAGTGGGCGCTTTTAAGGAAAAAAAGTTGTTCGAACAACAACTTTTTCATGTTAATTTTTTTTAGCGTGTTTCACTCAAAGTCGAATAGTAATACGCGCACAACCTTATTAAAATCCGTTGAAACTTAATGAGCATAAAGATTTTGACCTTTTTTATA